CTGTATATCTGTCGTACAAAAACATCAGATTGCTCGCTATTAGTGGATTGAATTGTGTTTTCAAATGTTCCTCCAGCTAGCTTCAGTACAGAATGCCGTACATATGTGAATACGCATCGCTTCATGCGCGTTGCGCAGCAGCCTCTACCCTTTTTATATTTCTTTTTGCGTCTTAAATTTTACTTGTAATTCAGTCATTAAATATTACTGTTTTTCTTTTCGGGCATTTCACTTTCTTGCAACTGAATTTTGTTTTCAAAGTGGTCATTACATTTAAGTGTCTTGAATAAATAAGATAATAATGAAATACATGTATCACGAAGTTTGGGAATAAAGTGACGGGTGGCACCAAACTTTTTTCACACAGTTATGATATGGGAAAAAGATTGGAAATAAATTATTTGCATCAATATGTCCTGATGACAATTTTAAAGAAAATAAAACAAGTGTTTGCATAAATTGAAGAATTATTTCCTCTGTTGTGATTGAGAGGTTATGTTGGGGGAGGGGGGCAATGACAACTTCCTCATTGGCTCAAGGGGGCGATTCGTTCAAAAAGGTTAAGAACCACTGGACTAGATGACCTCCAAGGTCACTTCCAACTTTGTTGTTGTTATTATTTTTTTAATAAACTTTAAATATTTTTAAATCATAAATCACATAATAGTTAACAGTGTGTTTGCTTGGTTTACATTTATAAAGGAAAATCATCAACGATTAATATCTATAATCCATAATCCATGTATTCACACAAATGTTTCTTTTTTTCCCCATTGATATTCTCTCTGATAGTTCCCGTCATCAATATTCTTAATTTTCCCTTTAATATTTAAATATTTTCCCTTTAGTCAGTATCATACTTGATCAATGTGTTTCGCTAAATCGGAGCGTTTTTCCCTCTATTTTCCCCCAACCAACCATAGAATTTGTTCCAGATTTCATAGTAATCTGTCACTCTTATCCTTAAGTTCTAACGTCAACCTATCAATTTCAGCACAAGATAAAGCCTTATTTATTACCTCTTCTTCTGAGGGTGTCTCTCTGTCTTTCCATCTGTGCAAAGACTAATCTTGCTGCTATTAGCATGTGTAATAATAGGTATAGGGATCCTTTATTGTATCTATCTTTAGTGATACCCAGCAAAAAGAGTTCTGGTTTTAGCTCAATGTTCTGCATTAGTATCTCTTCTAACCACAGTTTTATTAAATGTCAATTTTTTTGTGCTTTTGAACATTCCCACCACATATGGTAATAAGTCCCTAGTGATTCTTTGCATTTCCAACATTTCGGTGAAGTCTTTTTGTCCATTTTGGCTAATCTCACAGAGGAAAAGGTGCCACCTATAAAACATCTTGTATAAATTTTCTTTGTAAGCAGTAGCTAATGTGAGCCTCCTATTCCTTTCCCATAAATCCTGCCAATTATCTAAGTCGATACCATAGCTGAAATTTTTACTCCAAATTAACATTGTGTCTTTTACTTGCTCTTCCAACATATCCCATTCCAATAAATATTGATATATACTTTTTACCTCTTTTTCCTCCGTTCATAATAGAATTTTATCTAATTCTGTGTGCTCTAATTTTATTCCACATTCTTTTTTATCCTTCATATATTGTGATTGAATTTGAAGGTACGCCCACCATTCAAGTTCTATCCCTTCTTCTAATAACTTTTCCCTTGATTTTAATTCCCTTCCTTCGTCCAAGATGTCTTTATATTGATCGCCTTTCCTGATTTCATGAAATTTATGAATGAATGTATGAATATCTCCAATGTGGATACTCAATTAAGGATTTTCATGTAATTACGTTTTTTAATTCTGACCCATACATCTAGTAGTGCCCGTCTGATGTAATGTTTCTGGAAGTACTGGTGAGCCTTGTGCTTTCCTTCCCAAAGAATTCCGTGCCACCCTGTCTGCGTAGTGTAGCCTTCTAAGGCTAATAATCTCCTATTTCTCAAATGTATACACTCTTTCGCCCAGTAAGCGTGGCTGCTTGATAATATTTTTCCCAATCTGGGAGGCCGAATCCACCTCTTTCCTTCAAATCCTGTAAAAGTTTGAATTTAATTCTCAGTTTTTTCCGTTGCCAGAAGCTGTGAATGCTCTAACACTGGAAGTTTTTAAGAAGAGACTGGACAGCCATTTGTCTTAAATGATATAGGGTTTCCTGCCTGAGCAGGGGGTTGGACTAGATGACCTCCAAGGTCCCTTCCAACATTGTTGTTATTGTTGTTATTATTAAAGCTAGTGGTGCGGCTATATTTGAGCCAGAGTGTTTTTTAGGGGTGAAGGTGAAGAAATAGCAAATCCATCTTGTTGGGATTTAATCTGAATTTGTGTCTATGATCCAGACTCTCATAGCCTTCAAACTACAGGTTAGGATTATCACAGCAGCTCTGGCTCAATCGTGGATGATGGTATACAGTTATATAACATCAGCATACTGAAAATACCTTATCTCAAACAGATGGATGATCTCTCCCCAGCAGCAGTCTCCAACCCAGACCGGGGGAGGCAGCAGCAGTGGGGTGGGAGAGAGAGGATGGTTTTGCACACATGCTCGCCTATCACTTCCACTGCCTGGTTTTGAACAGGCTACGTACGGCCTGGCACTGGGCCGTGGACCGGGGTTCGGACCCCTGTGTTAAATGGGAACCTTATGTGGTGGGAATGGGAACCTTATGTGGTGTTTATTAATAGTGATATGCAACAAATTGTCACATCAAGTACTGTGATGTTACTTGTACTTCAGTTCATTTTTTAAAATACTTTTTTCTTCAACCTGTTAATTACAGTTGAAGGTCTAATAAAAATATTGTGCAAAACTTTCCTAAAAAATAAATTGTATATTATGAAGTTATTGTCAGGGCTGCCTCCATTCAATCCCTAAGAAAGAAAAACCCTTGACTCCAGAGATTTAGAGAAAAGGTACTTTTGCTAGGAATGAACTGAATACAGCAATGGTCAGGCAAGATGTGAAGAAAATTCACATGAAAAAACAATCTGAAGCAAGCCCCAGAGCCCAGCCCCCGGTAGCCAGGCAACCAGAGTTCAATCATCAGCCAGAAAGATGTTTTGGGAAAGTCTCTGGTCCAGGTGCAGTGTTCCTCCTTCGTGCATTCCAAGCCTGGACAGTTGGCCTTGAGAAATGTTAAACAAGCTGATCTGGTCTCCCTGAGACCAGGCCTACTCACCACTTCACAGAAATTTCATTTCCACCTCCTGTACGCTTCCCCCCCCAAATACCCTGTGCTTCTCCTGCCCCCATTTCCATGGCAGCTGACAGCAAGCTTGAAAGAAAGGAAGATGCAGGCTGACATTTATATTCTTTTCTTTAAAAGGTTATGCATTTTAATATTAGATGGTTAGGGCTATGTAGTAAAAGCAGACTTATTCTCTAATTATGTGGTAATACTAGCTTTTAGTTTGCTTTAGTTACCTGAAGTAAGATAGAAACCGGGTGAAACTTTGCCATGAAGTTAGCCTGTAGAGAGTGTAAGTTTGTGACTCTTAATTCTCAATTTAATCACAAGAATGTATTGATTGATTGATTTATATCTCATACTTTCAAAATACTATTCTGTAATTGATTTAACAAGGAAAAAAATCAAAAACAAAATTGAAAATGCTAAAACTTACAAAATAAAGTCAAGTTTTTTTTAAAAAAAAACAATTAGACTAAAATTACGTAACTTAATATTTCAAAAATGGTTCTTAAATATTTATGTTTATTATGACATTTAAGAAATGTCTTTGCAGGATTTTAGAAATCTTCCCTGTAAAGGTTACTTTTGAAATAAGTCTTTAGAGCGATGCCCCAGAGTATTACTGTACAGATCTGTTTGAAGATACAGAGGAGGTGAAGAATTAAAATATAATTTTTTAAAAAAAAATTAAGCTTGCATTGTGATTCTATATGCTGTTTATAAATGTTATATTAAGAAATTTATCATTTGGACTTTTCTGATATCTATATTATAATAGTATGTGGGTATGACCTTGAGAAAGGAAGGGAAGAGCCCCAGCTGCATAATGGGTAGAGAAAGAAACTTAGAAAGGATCGGCCCAAATTTACCATCCTAATCAGGTGGTAAAAAGAGACAGTGGGAGATTTGCACTTTCAGATTTGCAAGATTTTATTAGTGTAGCCTTAGAATAAAGTAGGATTAGTTCATCTTATTGTATTTCCTATCTGATCTACCTGGAAGTGCTGAGAATATAAATTGTAAGTAAAGGGAAAGCAGCAGTAAGTTTAGCTGTAATTTATCCCATTTCCAAACTGTATTTAAAAGTTTGGGGTTATGAAACATAATTGCTTATTTCATATTGCTGAATTTCCCTAAAATGAGCATTTTATTAATTGCAGTGGCGATGGATTTGTCTAGGAATTTATCAGTTTTAGTACATGAAATACTGTGGACTTTACTGATCTCAGTATTTTATAAGGCTTGATTGTTGTTTTTTGTCCTATGTTAACAGTTTCTATCTTCTCTATTCCATTATGACTGATGCTGTTCAACTTTACACAAGTTCAGGATGATCTTAAATTTTAAAAAGCTTTAAAAATCTTGCCAAGAAAACTGCTTGGACACATCAAACTAATCACCATTAGTCTAGAATGACTCAAAGATGTTAAAAAAAAAAATCTTACTAAATGTAGCATCTTTTGCCCTGTGATCCCTTTATTTGCAAATAAGGCTGATCTTAGTTCAAATTTAATATTTTAAACCTAGTTCCATGAAATAGAATTATAATTACTATGCATAATATGAAAGTTGGGGATAAAGTGTTTAAAAGTTAATATTTAAACAAATCCTTAACTGATTGTTATGATTACTTTTGCTAAAGCAAGATTTTCTGTATTGACTGTTGTATAAAATGCCAATTATATTATTCAGGATTAAAAAACGAGACACTGGATTAAATATTAAGGTATTTCCAACCTTCAGGAATTTCATGAAATTCTAAAGTTTTCTTTGTTTACATTTTCTAGGTGATTCATGGCAGGGGACGTGGAAGGATTTAGTTCCTCCATCCATGACACCAGCGTCTCAGCTGGGTTCAGAACACTGTATGAGGAGGGATTACTGCTTGATGTCACTCTTGTCATTGAGGATCACCAATTTCAAGCTCATAAAGCACTTCTTGCCACCCAAAGCGATTACTTCAGGATTATGTTTACTGCTGATATGAGGGAACGAGATCAGGACAAAATCCACTTAAAAGGACTGACAGCAACAGGCTTTAGCCATGTTCTCCAGTTCATGTACTATGGCACTATTGAACTGAGCATGAGCACTGTTCATGAGATCCTGCAGGCTGCCATGTATGTTCAACTTATTGAAGTGGTGAAGTTCTGCTGCTCCTTTCTCTTAGCAAAAATATGTTTGGAAAATTGTGCAGAAATTATGAGACTTTTAGATGACTTTGGTGTAAACATTGAAGGAGTAAGAGAAAAACTGGATTCCTTTTTGTTAGAACATTTTGTGCCTCTCATGGCCAGACCTGATTTTTTGTCCTATCTCAGTTTTGAAAAGCTTATGACTTATTTGGATAATGATCATCTGAGCAGATTCCCAGAGATAGAACTCTATGAGGCTGTTCAGGCTTGGCTGCGGCATGATAGAAGACGCTGGAGACATACCGACACCATCATTCAGAATATCAGGTTTTGTTTGATGACACCATCCAGTGTTTTTGAAAAGGTTGGTGCATTTGAAAGCAGTAGATAGTGTTCATGTGTTTAGGGCAACGTGGTATTCATAGGTAAAATAGCCAAAATTAGTTGAAGGGGAAATATAAGACTGTTTTAGAAAGCGGAACCTTGAAATTGTTTCTGAAATGAGTGTCGTTTTAATTGTAAAGTTTCCCAGTTACAAGTTAAAAGAATTTACAATCAGAAAACAGGTAGGTTTACAGCTTTTCTGATTATCAATCAAAGTGAAAACTATTCAGTAGTGAAAAGCCTACAAGACTGTTTATGATAATCAGAATCGGTGAAATCTGTGATTTGTGTATACTGATGTGTATTGACTTGGCACAGTGGAAGTCTTATATATTTCAAATAAAATACACTCTAAGGCAGGAGTGTCAAACTGCCGGCCCGTGGGCCGGACGTGTCACGAGGAAACCGCGCTCACTCCATTGCCGGCAATGGGGAAAAAGTTCCGATATGTCGCGCAATGTCACGTGACATTGCGAGTTTGACATGTTTGCTCTAAGGTTTTAACTTCTAAAAATGAAAATTCAAAAATATAAGTGCACTAGAAAAAGAATCTCAGCTTTTATCTTTAGATGCTGAACTTGATTTATTAATCTGATATATATCCCATTTGTACAGGAGCTCAAGATGGGGTACATAGTGCTCCCTCCTTGGCTTTATTTGTTGGTTCCAACAGATTTAGTACAGGATCTGTAATTTTAAAAAAATCTAGGTACTGTTTTTATTTTGATTTTATAAAAAGAGATGTGAGGTACTAAGTTTTAGTTCTGTTTTCTGTTCTCTGATTGGGATATAAATTTAGGTTCCTCTTCCAGCATTGTTTTTTTTTTTTTCCAACTGCAGAGCAGTGGGCATTGTGGTAGATGTTCTCTACATCGATACAGATCTTTGAGGCTATGGTTGTTGGAGGGTAAGAAATAACGTGGGTCAATTAGGAACAGGTTTATTGACCAGGTTTACTGATTAACATATGACTTTAGAAGTTGAGCACAATTTGACTTTAGAAAGACTCTTTAAATTAGGCGACTATAAGAGTTTCCTCTTGGGCAGCACAGAGGCTTAGCGGTTAAAGTCGGCAACCCAGGTTCAAGTTCTAAGCACCAAGCAATGGGGTGAGTTCTCGTCCACATCCCAGCTCCTGCCAACCTAGCAGTTTGAAAGCATGCAAATGCAAGTAGATAAATAGGTACACATGTCGATGGGAAGATAACAACACTCCATAATATCCTGCTGGCCACATGACCACGGAAATGTCTTCGGACAGCGCTGGCTAAAAGGCCTTGAAGTGGAGATAAGCACCACCCTGTAATAGTCAGCGACAACTATTGGAGTAAAATCCGCAGGGACTCTTTTACCTTTTATTACCTTCTATACTTACTTATGCATCAGAAGCATGTGTGGCCTATAAGCAATGTTAACATCCTTCTTGGATAGGATACCTACATTCCCCCGACCCCTAAATCTACATAAATAACAGCTTTTCTATAATTTCTAAATAAAAAAATCCCCAATAGTATTATGGAAGAAAAACCTTCAAGAGATAGCTCATGTACTGCTGTGTTATCTAGAATTGAACTTTTTGACAACCTCAACGTATCAGTGCGGACTGGAAAATCTTGCCTGGAATATGTGAATCTCCCTTTTGATGACTAGAATAATATGTGATTAATTTTAAAAGGTGCTAGATCATTTATGACCTATTGGGTCATCATTTGAGAGAGATTTTCTTACCAAATTCCTCAATGTCTTCAGCAGTGCAGAGCTTGTAATGTATTGCATTCACTGGAAAAACTCTTAAAAATTCAGGGAGATATTCAGAGATGTATCTGTTTAAACAAAATGTTTTATGACATAGGTGTGGAGAAACCATGACTTTTATATATTGCTGGCCTATGACTTCAGAAATATTAGCATACCTGAACTGTTGAAAGAGCTGCTGGGGGTTATAAGCTAGCATATTCAGAGAGCTGTAAGCTTCCATATTCCTGTAATAGATTTTATTAAAGCAAACTCTTCTTAAATATATCTTCTATTAATGCATCCTGTTATTTTACAGACAGTTTCAATTAATACACAGAACTTCTAAAATATCATGTAATCAAATATAAATTCTGTACAGGTAGTCCTTGACTTAAAATAGTTCATTTAGTGACCATTTGAAGTTATGATGGCACTGAAAAAAGTGACATGACCATTTATCACTTGATCATTGCAGCACCCCCATTGTCACACAATCAAAATTCAAATGCTTGGCAACTGACTCATATTTATGATGGTTGCAGTGTCCTGGAGTCAATGTGATCACCTTTTGCGACCTTCTGATAAGCAAAGTCAATGGGGAAGCCAGATTAACAACTGTATTAGTAACTTAACACCTGCAGTGATTCACTTAACAACATGGCAAGGCTTAACAACATGGCAAGAAAGGTTGTAAACTGGGGGCAAAATTCATTTAACAACTGACTCACATTGTAACAGAAATTTTGGGCTCAGTTATGATCATAAGTCGAGGACAATCTGTACTTGCTGTTCAGCTGCCACTAATACACAAATATAATTTGTAAAATTGAAGTTATTTGTGAACTATAATAGTGTACTGTGAACTATAATAGTAAACTATAATAGTGTAAAGATGTGTCAACTGCCCAGTTTTCTCTTAACATCTATAAAATTATTGCACCTGTTAAAATATGCAACATACCAAAATCCATGTATATTTTGCTAAAGGTATGAGTTAGATGAAACCTAATTGACGTAGTTGACATTAAAAGCAAATTTTAGAGCAAAGGGAGTCTTTATTACTGTATTTTTTTATGTGTTTATATGTTAAGAAAACACACACACACACAATCTTCTTAGATTATGTATTTTGCGTTAAAAATGAAATAACTACATCCTAAGAGATCAAGCTAAGTAACCAACAGTATTACAAGTATATTTTCCAACATTTAACTATAATGCTACATATTGACTTTTTTTAAAAAAAATAAATATTTAAAAATAAATATTATGATTGCTGTGTACTGTAATCATTGGTTACAAATATTTGAATTGATTAAAGCACTGAAATTTAATTGGTTTTCCATATATGATATTTGCTAATTGCATCATTCACTTTTAGATACTGTATTTATATCTGTTTCATCTTTTTGTATCCGGTTTTATTTTTTTCTTAGTGTATCCATTTGTATCCATATTGCTGTTCTTCATCTATCTGCAGTGTAGACTTAGCCTCATTTGTACAAGAAGTTCTCACTTAATGATTGCCCTGTTTAGTAATCATTCAAGATTATGACAGTGCTGAAAAATTAACTTTATGATTCATCCTTGCACTTACAACCTTTGCAGCACCCCTGCAGTCACATAATTGAGATTCAGGCACTTCATACCTAGTGGGTGTTTACAACTGTCACAGCATTTTACGATCATGTCATATATACACTTCACAGATGGCTTCTAACGAACAGAATGGAGAATTTCGCAAGTCTCAGTCACATGATGTCTTACTTAATGACTGCATGTGACTTGCTTAATGGCTGTGGTTGAAATGAGTTGATAAACCAGTCAAGGTCACATGAAGTTTTGTTTAACAACCCCATTACTTAACAATAGAATTGTGGCTCCCAATTATCGTAATTACGCAAGGATACTTGTAATAACTTTTTGTCCAGGGACTCCGCTTTTTTTTTTCAAAATGCTTTTCTCTAGCACTATCTCTTTTATCCTATAATTGTTAAGTAAAAATAAAAGGTATCTTCATATGCATGTTTTGGGTAAAAAAGAGGAATAAGGTGATAATACTCAAGCTAATAGCTGGTACCATTTAACCCTAGAATGACAATAAAGGATTCTTAAACAAATAATGACAAATTAAAAGTTCCAGAAGTAATAAGACCTTCACTAGCAAATTATAGAAGGAAATGTTTTATGAAATGGATACTGTTAAAAAAAGGAACTTGGTGTGGACCAAACAAAACTCTTTTAAAGACTTAATACATAAACTAATTTTTCGTTTGCTTCTGAGTTCAGAATTCATGTTTTATGACTATAATAGGTAGCCTGTTCAAGCAAGACCCATGTTGTACACTAATCACTTTATTATAATGATTCAAAGTTTAATTAATATAAATATTTATGAAATGAAGGTCATTAATTGGTAAATAATCATTTTCATGGTGAAGACCAATAGAGATGAAACTTAAGAATACATTATGGATATTTAGAAATAAAAGTGTTAAAACTAAGCTTTCCTTGTAACAATACCTTTTGAAATTAAGTTGTCATAAATATCAAATAGGTGTTTATTTCAAAATCTTTTATTTAATGTAATTTACAAAAAACACTTATCAACTAAAATATATTTCTAGGTTGGTGGTCTCGATATGTTGATAAATAAGAAGATACGAGATAGAGAAGCACTCTTGCACTAAGAAAGGTGTGTTGTATTAAAAATCAATTCATGTAGGTTGAAAATGAGAGAGCATAATTCTCATTCATGTAATTGCTAGTAAATGGAGACTTTACCCTATTTTTATATAGAAATTTATTTAATTTTAAAAATTTAAAAAATACAGATACTCCTCATTTAAATATGGTAATTGGGACTGGCAACTCTGTCACTAAGTGACATGGTCGTAAAGTGTGACATCATATGACCCTGCTGACTTATGATAGCAGTTGTAGTAGTTCCAGTTGTCATTGTTAGGTGAATTCCATGCGGTCACAGCATCCCACAGTCATACAATTGTTATTTGGCTTCCCATTGATGGAGGCTGAAGGTCACAAATGGCTATCATGCAACCATGGAATGCTGCAATGTAATTGCAAGACAGTTGCCAGGCACCTATAATCACATGACAAAAGGGATGCTGTGACAACCACAATTACGAGGAACAGTTGTAAATCCCATTCATTTCCACTGTAATTTCAGATGGTCACTGAATGAAGACTGCCTGAATTTTGCAGGCCCTAATTGGTAACTATGTTGTTAAGTTAATGTAATATAATTGGACTCCAGAAGATGGTAGAGGAGAGGAAGACCTGGAGGAATGTTGTCCATGGGGTCGCGATGGGTCGGACACGACTTCGCAATTAACAACAACAAATATAATTGGAGAACTTGCCTCAGTTCTAGACTAGACATTAATATTCTATAAAAAGAGCTTTGGGGAAATCAGTATCGGTATAATAAGCGTGCTGCAGCTGCCAAAAAAGCCAAAACAGTGCTAGGCTGCATTAACAGGGATAGAATCAAGATCACATGAAGTGTTAATATTACTTGATAATGCCTTGGCAAGGCCACGTTTGGAATACTGCATCCAGTTTTGGTCACCACAATGTAAAAAAGACGTTGAGACACTAGAAAGAGTGCAGAGAACAGCAACAAAAATGATCAGGGGACTGGAGGCTAAAACATATAAAGAAAGGTTGCTGGAATTAGATATGTCTAGTTTCCTGAAAAGAAGGACTGGGGTGACATGATAGCAGTGTTCCAATATCTCAGGGGTTGGTACAAAGAAGAGGGAGTCAAGCTATTCGCCAAAGCATCTGAAGGCAGGACAAGAAGCAACAGATGAAAACTAATCAAGGAAAGAAGCAACCTAGAACTAAGAAGAAATTTCCTGACAGTTAGAACAATTAATCAATGGAACAACCTGCCTCCAGAAGTTGCCTCCACTTACTGATTGGACAGCCATTTGTCTGAAATGGTATAGGGTTTCCTGTCTAGCTGGGGGTTGGACTAGAAGACCTCCAAGGTCCCTTCCAACTCTGTTATTCTATTCTATTCTATTCTATTCTATTATGGAATTCATTATTGATGATGTTATGTTATTATGTTGAACTGCATAAGTGAACTAGTAAACTACAAGTTTGCATTTGGCTGATACGGTAATTTTTGTATTTTAGTTTAGGGCCTGATAACTTACGAATTAGAATTTAAAAGGCATGTTCAGAGGACTAGATATTTTAATTAGTTTCTTCTGTTGCACATTTTTATGGCCTTGGAGAAATAGATATAAAATATAGAAAAAGGAGTATTGGTATATTAAAGATATAAATGGTAGAAGGAGTTAATCATGAAGAAGGCCAATCTAAGATGTTATTTTAAAAGATGCCTAAAAATCAGTATTGGGATCTGTCGTACTGAAAATGAGTTCAGTGTAGCCTATAACCATCTGAATTGTACAATTCTGAGTAATTTTGTTGAAGAGCAGCAAAATGTGATACTGGTTGATCAGATTATTTAAAAGCTCTTCTGAGTTTTTATGATTTCAGCTAGTAAATCGTATTTGAAGTATTTGTTTCATGGTTTCCCTTAATTCGGGAAATTAGCCAACTTATTTCTGAACAATTTTTCTGTAATATTTTCATACTATATACAAAGCCATATATAGTCTACATAACTAAGAACTACCTCTCCCTAACGGTTGTTGCTCTTTGTCCCAAATAGGCTAGGTGTTATAGTGGGAAGGGTCCCAGCATGGGGTACTCTTTGTAGATCTGCCTCTTTTGAAATACTTTCAAATACTCTGATGCAAGGATAGCCCTCACATTCATGGACTTCTAGAAGCAAGTGAAAATATGTCTGTCCTTAAGTCCTGGGGTATAATTATAACCAGCACATGTATAATTCAGTACATAGAACATTACTTTTAGCATTAATTTGAGATTAATGACTACTATTTTAATTATATTGACTTAAATTGCATATTATGTGGTAAGTTCTAGTTTATCTAGAATACCTAGAATCTGCCTAGTTTCAGATGGTAGATGCATCTTGAAAATAAATGTATGTATTTTGCTCTATCCTTAGGTGAAAACTTCAGAATTTTATCGTTATTCCAGACAGTTACGGCACGAAGTGGATCAGGCTATGAATTACTTCCATTGTGTGCATCAACAGCCTTTGATGGAAATGAAATCAAATCGCATCCGTTCTGCCAAACCCCAGACTGCAGTATTTAGAGGAATGATAGGACACAGCATGGTAAATAGCAAAATCCTCCTCCTGCACAAGCCAAGGGTCTGGTGGGAGTTAGAAGGCCCACAAGTACCTTTGAGACCAGATTGCCTTGCTATTGTTAATAACTTTGTATTCTTATTGGGTGGGGAAGAGTTGGGGCCAGATGGTGAATTTCATGCTTCCTCCAAGGTGTTCCGTTATGATCCAAGGCAAAACTCTTGGTTGCGAATGGCAGATATGTCTGTGCCACGGTCAGAATTTGCTGTTGGTGTTATTGGAAGATACATCTACGCAGTAGCTGGAAGAACAAGAGATGAGACATTTTATTCAACCGAACGATATGATATTACAGAAGATAAGTGGGAGTTTGTAGATCCTTATCCGGTCAATAAATATGGACATGAAGGAACTGTTCTTGGCAGCAAGTTGTACATCACTGGTGGAATAACATCGTCTTCTACATCCAAACAGGTTTGTGTGTTTGATCCCAGTAAAGAAGGGACAGTGGAGCAGCGAACAAGGAGGACTCAAGTGGTGACTAATTGTTGGGAAAACAAATGCAAAATGAATTATGCAAGATGTTTTCACAAAATGCTTTCCTATAACGGCAAGCTTTATGTTTTTGGAGGTGTCTGTGTAATTCTGAGAGCCTCGTTTGAATCTCAAGGATGCCCTTCTACAGAGGTTTACGATCCAGATACTGATCAATGGACAATTTTGGCTTCTATGCCAATTGGTAGAAGTGGCCATGGAGTGGCTGTTCTGGACAAGCAGATAATGGTTCTTGGAGGCCTTTGTTACAATGGTCACTACAGTGATTCAATTCTTACTTTTGACCCTGAAGATAATAAATGGAAAGAAGATGAATATCCGAGAATGCCCTGCAAACTTGACGGTTTACAAGTTTGTAGCCTACATTTTCCTGAGTATGTGCTAGAACATGTTAGACGTTGTAGTTAAAACAACAGACTTAAGAAAGTATTCATGAGAAAAGCAGAGTAAAGTAGAGGGAAATAAAGCAAATTAAATGTCACTGACCTGTATAATATACATCTTAATAAAGAAAAAAGTGTACAGGAATGCATTTACAAAGTTTATTAGGAATGCCAATAACTGCAGTTTCATAATGATTAATTTTTTTTACATATTATATGGTCTGAGAAGAGAGAAAATAAAAGATGTTCTTCCATTTTATTTGTTATAAAACCATGTAATAGACACACATGAACACATGTCTTTGTAAACAAAACTTTATGGTTCAGAAAATACTGGAACATATTGTTTCTGAAAGGTGGTTCAAAAGCAAATGTATTGTGCATTTAAATTTTTTAAACAGGTGAAAATTTCGGCACCCTTACTAGAACATATTCTCTTCTAATATAGTAGTGCAATGGTTTTTTTTGTTTTAAGTACATAATTTGTTTTTTGGATACTTCTTTTTCACTTTTATGTCCCCTGAACAAATTTGACACATCATCTTTTGATATTGGTCACAATTTAAAATAGTTTTCTATTTTTTTATATGATTTTCCTTAGTTTTATGCAATAGTTCCAGTTAGTCTTGCTGAAAAATAAGTTTCTCAAAGTAACAGTTTTTTATGAAAATTCTAGACTGCCTTTGTTTTAATTGTGAAAATAAAATTTATGTATACAGTATGGTCAAAATTAAATGCATATTTTTGTGCAGCTAAAAATCTATTTTTAAAGTGCACAGATATCAGCCATATCTGTAGAATTTTAGCTGTGATGGTATCCTTTCATATATACATTTATTGGATAATTGAAAGCTTCATTGTCATTAATGTATATATGTTTGGTATCTGCTGACTGATGGAATAATATTTGAAGTCCTTTTAATGCAAATAAGGAAGAAAGTGAAGAAAGTGTGTGTAATTTTTAAAGGTTTTCCAAGTTTTATCATATTAGTGCTTTGTCCTGAAGATATACATAATGTCTATAATAAGCATAAAATCTCCTCTCTATGAGAAGATAATTTTCTCCAGGTATTACCAGCTATTGACAAAACCATTTCCTTGCACTGATTAAGCTATTGTACTTAAAAACAGAGATTTGACTGACTCAGCATTATTTCAGCAAACTTGAAAATATTACTGGCTTCACTATTTCTAAATAAGGTGGATGGCCAGCACAGGGATCCTGTATCCCTTGAAATTTTGTTGAACTACAACACCCAACCTCAGTCAACAAGGCCGGTTGTAGTTGGCAAAATTTGGACTTCCCATCTCTGGACAATAGGATGTTTTTAAAAGCACTCTCTAAATCTATAGATGCATGTCGGGAAATGAATGATATCCCTCAATCTGAATAGAACCTTGGATTGATAATGAACTTTATCTCTTCAAAGTAATTTGGAAATGTGAAAAATAATACTTGACAATTTGAAACTTGCTTACTCGAGACAGACTGCTGAAATGGTTTCATGAGACTCAAATGCTCATGTAAAACAAAGATATAAGCTGCACAATTTTATTTCAGCACTTGGGGAACCTCTATACAACAACATGCTATATTCTTGGAGTTTAAAATTATGCATGTGATAAGTTCCCAATTTGTGTTGTGTTAAACAGCAACATACTTGACTGAAGCAAATGAGGCTCTAATGTTTATATAATTGTGTTCTTTCCAAGCTTTTCTCTCTGAAAGATAAATTTATGGGGCAATATTACTTTGTGATTATCTCAAAGATCACAAGTATAAATTACCCATGTAATAATATGCTATGTTTACTGAGGTCATGTTATATTAAAAAAGGTAGACCAAATTTTCTCATTAGTTTCTTGTACACAGACAATATTTAAATGTTCATAAATTTTTTGTTTCTGAAAAAAGCATCTAATTAGCACAAATTCAAATGCACATTAAACCAAAAGTGATCCTCTTGTTTGTGTAACTTATGTTTACTTCTTTTAATATAGACATTTACAGTTACTAACCTTACTAAGATGCAACCAAAGCTTCATTCTGCAATTAACAACATAATAAGATAAACAGAATTTATGCGATAGGGAAAATGTAATGCCAGAGGTCAACAGTTTAAGAGCAAAACAACCCTGTTTGTATTCAGTTTTGAAGGCATATTGGTATACAGTATATCGCCAGTAATTCCTGAATGAATAAAATAATTCTGATCTTTTATTCATAAAATAAAAGTAGCATACTAATGTGTATATACACACATTCATTCGTTATTTCTATTTTGCTATAGACCTATTCATTTCTTTATTAGTATATAGAATATAGCATATAAAGAGGGGGAAATTGTAAATGAGTTTAATCCACAGCATGTTTCAAAATGTGATGTATAACTTCTCACATCCCATTTTAAGAACTTATGTTGCCAGAGGAACATAATCTAAGTTTCTCAAAATAAGTACAGTTTTTCAGTAACTTCTTGAATTTTTGCTCACCATAAAATTTACTTTTATTTTATTTAGTCTATTCATTAGAGTAAAATTAACTAATTCTAGAAGTGTTTGTGATAGCAGGATAAGATCAGATAAAAATGGAAGTGATTTTTTTCCCCCAAGTACATTAAAGAGCTACTTTTGTATCATGTTAATTATTACATGTATGAAGAGCAGAGAACCTTAGGCACTTACTGTTGCTGCTTCACTATGGTTGCTATGAGATCAAAGACTTGGCTGTAAGAAAATGAGAGTTTTTGATTACATCTAACTTGGGGAAAGTCATTAGGTTAGGCTTAAGCGATGGCTTACCTGCCTGGCTTTTAAGTAATCTCAAAGGGCTTCTAAGGCCAAGGTCTTCACTGCTTATATATAAAATATTTTTTACAAAATATACCAATGTGTGTCTACCCATGCAGAGTTGATAAATTAAAGGCATTTTTACTCTAAGAGTGCTTTTAAAACAGGAATCCTCCATATCCAAGTTATATGCTATGTGGCCTGATCAATACCTAAATCATCTTGGGTATCACATAGAAGAGGAGTTTTAAAAAATAATTTATTACTGAGACAATAGCAAAGTTATGAAATATATTAATAGATATTTTATGAATTGCTTTCTTAATTATAGTAAGTTATCTGAAAAGGCACATTAAATGAAATGAAGTGGAACTATGCTGCTTGTGCTTTTTATTTAATTTCTCATCCATTGTAATACAAGAGGCTGGTTGTTTGCATACTTAATGGACAGTTAGCTTAAATGAGTTACTGAGCCGATACTTAAAGTTAGCCTATGTAGGATATCAGCCTTAAGTTTTTCAAACCTGCTGTTACATACACTGGATAAAAATACAACTTATTTATTTTAACATGAATGTTGATTTTGTTTCTTTGATTAAAAGGCAAATATTCTTCACCTTATAAATGTCAGATGATTTCTAACCTATTATGTATCTTCATTTGGTTCATGATAATATTCTAAATTGTACTTTCTTGAAATTCCTGTGCATATGAAAATAAGGTTACAAGAGAAAAGGATGTAAGAATGTAGCAAGTACAGCAATTATTCATCCTTTTGGTATTAAGAATTGTAGTTCTTTGGTATTTTTCCATGTCTGTCACAACTATAATTTCTTTATTTAAATGTATTTAAAACATAGCTACTCAACCTATACTGAACTTTGAGCAATTTCCAAATTGTTGATTCCTATGCTCTCCTAAAAAGCTCACTATTTAGTTTAAACCATTTTCATTTCAAGAATAATTAAAATGCCAACTTTAGTGGCAAATTGGAAGAGGAAGGAAACAAGAACATTTTTAGAGGAGTTAGACATAATGCACTAGACCAGGGTGTCAAACTGCCGGCCCGCAGGCTGGATGCATCATAGCAAAACCACGCCCATCCCATTGCCGGCAATGGCAAAAAAGTCGTGATACATCGCAACACGTCACATGACGTTGTGAGTTTGACACCCTTGCACTAGACTAAGGCCTGTTCATTTCATTTGGGAGTCTGTATATATATAAAAAAAACACTTGGCAGTGTTAGAAGAAAAAAAACGGTTTATTCTTAAGAAGAAATGTCTCTCCAAAAACTCTAGTGTCTTGCAGCAATTAATGAATGTTTACATGTGCTTTATAAATTATTTTTTAAAACAAATTACTCTAGAAAGCCCATTCTTAAATTTTATCTTATGGTGTGTTCATGTTGATACAACTTACTTGTGAATAGTATTTCCTATACTATTTAACGGAGAAAAGTAGTACAAGTAAAATGGGAAGAATACCACATGAAAAAAACCAGACACCAAATAAACACTTTAAGCATGATTTGTATGTTCATTTCTTATATTAAGTTACTCAGTACTAGAAGAAAGGTGATCACATGTAAAACTATAACAACCACTAGGCTAACCTCGTAGAGTCCATCACTGCTCATTTTTTATTGTTATAAAGTGGTTGAATGAAAATTCTGAAATTTCTTATCATATAAGCTGATATTCCGAAGAAATGGAATTAAAGAATAAAATTCCATCTCTAAAGTGAGAATATTTATACATAATTCAAGAATATTTCTTAGTATCAGTATAAATAAGAAATAAGGGCCAATACCTGAAAACAAAACTTGCTTAAAGTTCCATAACCAGAAAATACTTTCTCTCAATTTTATGGCATTGTAGCATTACAAGATTTATTCAACTTTTGAAAAAAAAAAAAGGGACAGAGACAAACATTTGAATAAAAATCAGGACTACTTATTCTGAATTAAATTAATAAATCTTGATTAGGATTAAATTTCATATGTGTTTTATAAAGGGAATTTCAAACACTACACCAAATTTTGAGAATATATTAGTAACAATAGTTGGAGATGTTGCTGTTGCAGGATGGTTATGCATAAGCCAATGCTGCTTTTCAACGTATCTAATAAATGTTTGCATGTTAATTTCAGTTACCTTTGAATTGTGCTATAATAAATTGGAATACTTTATTCAAATATGCACTGTGCATTCTAATAATTACCTGAAGCAGTTGTGAAACTGCAATCTTTTAATATTCTTAAAAACATTAATTCTTTGTAAACGTTCATCTGACTCATCCTGTGAATCCATTATGTTCAGTCATGCATATATACTCTGTTTTTAAGCGAGGTGTAAAAATTTGTATATAAATAAGAATGTAAATAAAATATTTTTAATTTTCATTATAGTTTTTCTATTATTTTTGTTCCTCTTCCATTAGTAAGTCTAATGTTTCACGTTGTTAAAGTCATATATATAGGCTTACTTGTGAAAGTATTTAGCTGAGCCGAAATGCAAATAGAACAGTTTGGATCAAATGTACAGGTATAGTATAGGTGGTACCTTGTTCAATAGTAACTGTGAGAGGGACCTTGGAGTCCTAGTGGACAATCACTTAAATATGAGCCAGCAATGTGCTGCAGCTGCCAAAAAGGCCAACACAGTGCTAGGCTGCATTAACAGAGGGATAGAATCAAGATCACGTGAAGTATTAATACCACTTTACAATGCCTTGGTAGAGCCACACTTGGAATACTGCATCCAGTTTTGGTACCACGATGTAAAAAAGATGTTGAGACTCTAGAAAGAGTACAGAGAAGAGCAACAAAGATGATTAGGGGACTGGAGGCTAAAACATATATGGAATGGTTGCTGGAATTGGGTATGTCTAGTTTAATGAAGAGAAGGACGAGGGGGGATATGATAGCAGTATTCCAATATCTCAGAGGCTGCCACAAAGAAGAGAGAGTCATTCTATTCTCCAAAGCCCCTGAAGGCAGGACAAGAAGCAATGGATGGAAACAAATCAAGGAGAGAAGCAACCTAGAACTAAGGAGAAACTTCCTGACAGTTAGAACAATTAACCAGCGGAACAACCTGGCTCCAGAAGCGTTGAATGCTCAAACACTGGAAGTTTTTAACAAGAGAATGGATAGCCATTTGTCCAAAATGGTATAGGGTTTCCTGTCTGAGCAAGGGGTTGGACTAGATGACCTCCAAGGTCCCTTCCAACTATTATTATGGATCATTGCACAGTCAGCCAGATGTTCAGACTGGATTTGGCATTTTGTCTACCTATCGAGTCCTTACCAAGGACCTGGGATAGGCAGATGTGGATGTTTGATGGTATTACAGATATTGTTGCAGGATGGAAGCAGTTCCTAGTAAGGCCGCCTTTTGCAATTGACTAATAGCGAATTTGTCAATGCCAATGGTGTTCAAGTGGTGCTCCAGTTGTTTTGGGATTGCACCCAAGGAGCCTATGACTATTGGTACTACCCTTGCTTGCTTTGCCACAGTCTTTCTATTTCTATTTGTAGGTCTTTGTATTTTGTTATCTTCTCCAGTTCTTTCTCATCTATTCTGCTGTCTCCAGGCATTGCCACGTCCACTATCCAGACTTTTTTGTCTTTCTTATCGACAATTGTTAAGTCTGGGGTGTTATGTTGCAAGTGCTTGTCTGTTTGAATTCTGAAGTCCCAGAGCAGTTTAATTTTATCATTTTCTATGACTTTCTCTATTTTATGATCCCACCAGTTTTTGCTTACAGGCAAATGATATTTCTTGCAGATCTTCCAATTCACCATTGTTGCTACTTTGTCATACCACTGCTTGTAGTCAGTCTGTGCGATCTTCTTGCAGCAGCTTACCAGGTGGTCCACTGTTTCTTCAGCTTCTTTGCGTAGGCGGCACTTACTGTCTGTTGCTGTCTTCTCAATTTTGACTTTATATGCATTTGTCCTTAAGGCTTGGTCTTGGGCAGCCAGAATTAGTCCCTCGGTCTCTTTCTTCAATTTTCCTGCTCTTAGCCATTGCCAGGTCTTGTTATTATCAGCTTTCTCAGCTATTTTTTTTTTAATGTACTGGCCATGTAGTGCTTTGTCTTCCCATGCCTCTATTCTGTTCTTCATTTGGTCTTTCTTGTAGGCCAGTTTGGTCTCTCCAGTAGTCAGTAAGCCTTCCTTTCAACCAAATTTCAATGCATCTTCATCATTGTCCTTCAGATATTCTTCCAAAGCCACTTTTTCTTCTTCAACCATCTGATGTACTTGCAGCATTCCACGCCCACCTATTTGCCTTGGTAGATAAAGTCTGTCAATGTCACTTCGTGGATGAAGGGCATGATTCATTGTCATTATTTTTCTGGTCTTCCTATCCATTGCTTTTAGTTCTGCTTGAGTCCAGTCCACTATTCCAGCTGTGTACCTAATGACTGAAATTGCCCAGGTGTTGATTGCCTTTATGGTATTTCCTCCATTGAGTTTGGATTTTAAGATCTTCTTCACTCTCTTGATGCATTCACCTCTAATCTTTTTCTTGACTTCAGTGTGCTTGATGTTGTCAGCTTGAAGGATACCCAAATATTTGTAGTAATCTTCCTCATCCAGACTCTTAATGTTATTTTTGTGGGGCATCTTGATTCCTTCAGTTTTCATTATTTTTCCTTCTTTGATAGTAAGTGTGGTACACTTATCTAAGCCAAACTCCATTGCAATATCTTGGCTATATATACGGACAGTGTTGAGCAGCGATTCTATTTCAGATGATGTTTTTCCATACAGCTTCAGATCATCCATGTAAAAGAGGTGGGATAGTCTGGCAGATGTTTTTGATGTTTGATAGCCATGTCCTGAGTTATTCAGTATTATTGACAGAGGAAACAGTGCAGTTTTCCAAGATCATTTTGTCTATTAGGAGTTGATCTTTTGTTCCTCTGCTATTGGGGCGGTTTCCTTTCTCCTCAGGTGGAAAGAGATTGTTTTCAACTAGATGCTGTTGTACTGCATCCGCTACCACACCAGTTAGTAATTTGAAAGTTGTTGGTAAGCAGGTAATTGGCCTGTGGTTGCCTGGTGTTACCTCTTTTGCTGGATTTTTCATTATTAGGTAGGTTTTCCCAGTTGTTAGCCACTTTTCAATTTCTCCTCCTTGTAGTATATTGTTGAACTGCTTGGCAATGAGTGGGTGTATAACAGTTAGATGTTTCAACCAAAACCCATGCAGTTCATCTTCACCTGGTGCTGACCAATTTTTGATTTTCCTTGCTCTTTTTTCTACCATTTTTGTTGTTATTACTAGTTCTTTCATTTCAACTTCTGTTTTATTTGCATCCACCTCTTTTAACCAAGCTGTATCCTTGTTGTATTTCTTTGCGGTTATCCCATATCTGCTTCCAGAACTGCAATGTTTCTTCCTTGTGTACTGACTGATTCATTGCAGTTTTTCCATTGATGGATTGGTAGAAACGTTTCTGATTGGATTGAAATTGGAGGTTCTGCCTATAGTTTGCAATTTGAGCTTCATATCTACTGATTTTCCTGGCTATACCTGTTATTTGTTGCTTTATTATTTCCAGTGCTTCCTTGATCTTCCTTGTTTCTAAGTGGTATTTCTTGATTAGGTAATTCTTTGGTCTTCTTGTTCTTCAGCTTCCTGTCTTTCATCTGTTCTAGCTTGCTTGCATGTGATCTTACTTGCTGATCTTATTTTCTAGTCTAACCTTCCATTTTTGTGGTGCACTGTTTGTTTGTTTTTCTTTTTTGTTGATTTTGCATCCCAGGTATTCTGTTATAACTGCAGCTGTGCTGTACATTAGTTGGTTTGTTTCTTGCAGTGAATTGGTGCTTATACTTGATATTGCAGTATTTGCATCTTTTAATGCTTGTGCTAGCTGTTTCTTTGGAACAAGCTTCAATGCAGGCAGCCTTATTCTGTTGTTTTTGTGCTGTTCTAGATGCTCAGTTATTCTTTGTTTCAATTCTTTTATTTCTTTAGTTAGAGGGTTTTGTTCTTCCTGAGGAAGAGATGCCTGGTTTCCAAATGAGAACAGTTGTATATCTCTGCTGGATTCTTTCACTGCCAACTCCCCCTGGTTTGCCACTACATTCTGAATATTATTATTATTATTATTATTATTATTAATAATAATAATAATAATCGCACAGTCAGCCCGATGTTCAGACTGGATTTGGCATTTTTGTCTACCTATCGAGTCCTTACCAAGGACCTGGGATAGGCAGATGTGGATGTTGATGATATTACAGATATCATCGCAGGATGGAAGCAGTTCCTAGTAAGGCCGCCTGGGAACTGCTTTCATCCTGCGATGATATTATTTATTATTATCATTATTATTATTATTATTATTATTATTATTATTATTATTATTAGTGTTTATATTAATGCATACTGGGAAGCACCTCTTTAGTTACCTTTAGTATTTATCAACCTCTTCCTATTTTCCATCTAGATGCCTCAAGTTATTACTTGCAACAGATGTACATTGGCTACACCACTTTATTCTTCTCACATAATATCACATCTTTCTATCAACAGTAACTTGTTTGTTAGGAATTTCCTAAAGCCAGAGAATTGTGTATATTCATCTTCTGCCATGGTTATGTCTGCAAAAAAGAGCAAAAAAAATATAGGGGAAAAACAATTTCAACTGTTGCTGCCCATGATAGAAATGGTAGAAGCTTAAACAAAAAATACATTTATCTCTGATTAATCTTCCCCAATATCTTCAGTTCGGAGTGATCTGGCCCAATCGTAAAGCATTACTGCTTCTTGCTCCCAGTCTTCATTAGAAAATTGATTTTTAGGCCCTGGATCTCCAGCTGAATGATCACTCAAAGAAGGACTGCTTAAGTCCTAAACAACAAAATATAAAACAGCAAACATTATAATTTGAAAGTGAAATCTAATATTATACATTTTAAACTAAATTCTTGTTTTGCAGAGATTTTTAATATAAATGCAGCTATCTATCTTGAGATTTACAATATAAATTGTAGTTTTTCAAGATTTCAACCAAAATTAAGGACATTTTTTCTCCTCAGAATTAAGCATTCTTTGAGCAATATATCCTTGAGACAATGAGTATTCTTGGATATAAAATTCATATGGCCACTGCAGCTCTGGAATTAGATTCTTAATATGCAAACAAAGTATTAAATGGGAGTATTTTTTTTTTAGTAAATGAAAACACTAGAAATAACAAACAGGCACAGTACTGTATGGCCTTCTAACTCCTTTAGCCAGCACTGGTCATATAAGCATCTTTATGTAATAAAACAGATTGCATGTGTGTCTGTGCACATATGTTGCTCGCCCCTTGTGTTATAGCTGTTATGCTAGAACAGGGGTAGGCAACCTTGGCTCTTTTATGACTTGTGGACTTCACATCCCAGAATTCCTGAGCCAGCATGGCTCAGCTTGGAAACTCTCCCTTTCCCCTCAGCATGGCTGGCTCAGGAATTCTGGGAGTTGAAGTCCATGAGTCATAAAAGAACCAAGGTTGCCTACCCCTGCACTAGAGGGCATATAGAGGTGAGTTTCATATTGCTCACATGATTAGAAGGAAAAGACAGATAATAGTTGGCTTAAAATGGAGCTGTGAGCAATATTCTGAACCACTGCCCAACTTTTCTCACAAACAGCTTCTCTTATCTCTTGACTACTAATTGTCCTTGGGTGCCCTGAGAAGATGTTGTCAAAGACTTTTGAAAATTGAAGAACAGAATATCATCCAGATGCCTGCTGACATTTTCAAAAAAACTAGATTGGTGAGAAAGGGTTTTCTTTTGATTACCAGTTATACTGATTTCATGGGAGCAGATGTTCAGGTAACCAGTTTATAATTTCCTGGATATTTCTTTGGAGCCTTTTTTAAAATTGGTGTCAGTGTCAGCCTATCTATTTTCCAGTTATTTGTAATGCAGAAAGCTATTGCCAAGTACATAATGTTCTCCATACATGAGATATATCTTGGGATACACTTCACTTGGAATCTGAAAAAAATCTATTTTAAATCATTTTAATTTACAATATAAAAAAAATGCTGCATAATAAATTGTTAATGTCCTTCATTGTTATTATTTCCAAAATGTCTTTGGACCAAATGGATCCCATAAACTTTAGGAAAAAAAATAACATTACCCCAGCTGAAACAATTTTCAGGAAAAGGAATTGGGGAGTATCATAGGTAGAAATTATACTGTGTACATAGTTATTAGGCAAATGAGTATTTTGACCATATTATCATTTTCATGCATATTTTCCACCTCCAAGCTGTATGGATATAAGCATATCAGATGATGTGTATTTATGTAATGAGGGAGGGTGTGGCCTAAGGAGATCAACACCCTATATCGAGGTGTGCATAATTATTAAGTAGCTTCTTTTCCTTAGGCAAAATGGGCCAAAAAAGAGATTTAACTCACTCTGAATAGTTAAAAATTGTAAAATCTTTCAGAGGGATGCAGCACTCTTGAAATTGCTAAGATATTGGGGCGTGATTACAGAACCATCAAATGTTTTGTTGAAAATAGTTAACAGGGTCTCAAGAAATATGTTGAGAAAAAAAGATGCACATTAACTGCCAAAGATTTGAGAAGAGTCAAACGTGAAGCTGCCAGGAACCCATTATCCTCCAGTGCTGTCATATTCCAGAACTACAACCTACCTGGAGTGCCCAGAAATACAAGGTGTTCAGTGCTCAGACACATGGCCAAGGTAAGGTAGGCTGACAGTAGGCTGGGAGTTCATTTTGAATCCATCTTCTACCCGAAAAGGTCCAGTTAGCTCATCTTAATAATACCATCCCATACCAGTGCCCCACCTCCACCTTGCTGGCGTCTGAGTCGAAGTGGAGCTCTGTGCTCTATGCCTGTTACTGATCCAGCCATGGGCCCATCCATCTGGTCTGTCAAGAGTCACTCTCATCTCATCCATAAACACTTGAAAAACCTGTCTTCAGATATTTCTTGGTCCAGTCTTGCCGTTTCAACTTATGTGTCTTGTTCAATGGTGGTCGGGTTTCAGCCTTCCTTATCTTGCCATGTCTCTGAGCACTGAACACCTTGTACTTCTGGGCACTCCAGGTAGGTTGCAGTTCTGAAATATGACAGCACTGGAGGATAATGGGTTCCTGGAAGCTTCACGTTTGAGTCTTTTCAAATCTTTGGCAGTTAATGTGCGTCTTTTTTTCTCAACATGTTTCTTGCAACCCTGTTGACTATTTGCAACAAAATATTTGATGATTCTGTGATCACAATTTCAAGAGTGCTGCATCCCTCTGAAAGACTTTTTACAATTTTTGATGTTTCAAAAATCTCTTTTTTGGCCCATTTTGCCTGAGTAAAAGAAGCTGCCTAATAATTATGCACAATTCAATATCGGGTGTTGCTCGCCTTAGGCCGCACCCTCCCTCATTACACAAATACACATCACTTGATATGCTTATATCCACTAAGCATTCAAGTTTATACAGCTTGGAAGTGGAAAATATGCATGAAAATAATAATATGGTCAAAATACTCACTTGCCTAATAATTGTGCACACAGTGTAGAAGGGAAAGAATACATCTCAAACATGTCCTTTGTACCTCATTATATTCTCCTGAAATAGCTGGTGGCATTTCAAAATGCCAGACATACCCACTAGTCCTAAATAATGGGACCTCCTTGCCTGCCTTTATCAAAGTCTATACCAGGTTCCTGGAGACTGTATCCTGAATACTTTTCAGGATATTAGTTCATTTATGTTTATTTATTTATTTATTTATTTATTTATGAGACTTATATACCGCTTTAAGTGCAAGCACTCTCTAAGCAGTGTACACCAGTAAGCAATGTATATATATATTTACATTGCCCCCAACAATCTGGGTCCTCATTTTACCTACCTCGGAAGGATGGAAGGCTGAGTCAACCTTGAGCCGGTGAGATTTGAACCGCTGACCTGCTGAACACAGTCAGCTAAAGTGGCCTGCAGTACTGCACTCTAACTGCTGCGCCACCTCGGCTACATCCCAGTCTCACTATCCTATATAACTCTTTGATTTATATCCTACATGTCACAACAAAGTAAACCACACAACATTGGAAAACTGTATAATATAAAGTTATAACAGATGAAGTTGAATTTACAAAGGAAGAAGATAATGTATGAAGGTACTGATATTACTGAAACAATAAAAAATGGACTCTCAACTTAATTATCAGAACCAGGTCTATATAAAACACTCTTATCACTAAGTAATAAATCCCACTGAAGTCAGAGTGAGTTCTTTTCAATTAAAGACTATGGTAAGAGATGGAAAGGTCAGTTTTTAAACTTTTCAGGAAAATGAGCTATAGGAATCCTTGGCCAAATTGTGTACTTCACTGGACCACAATGGTTTTGGAAGGTGGAAATTATTTTCTAATAATTTGATTTATAACATGCTCAAATCATGTAATCACAACATTCATTGGCCAGCAAAGTGCCCCCCTTAAGAAGATTTTTTAGCAGGTTGGATAATTACAGAAAACAATTAGTCACAGCAGCTGTTTTATTCTCTTTTTTCAGGTATGAGTTTCATATAAAAATATGCCATCCATATATAGTACAATTAAACTATATCCTGCCATTTGAACTCTCTAGTAAAAGTAGTTTTCAAAAACCTGGTATTTGATCAACTCCCTTTAAAACATATTGATAGACTTCTAATGATCTAGCAGTACTATTCTAAATACCAAATATTCCATGTGCTTTATCCTTGCTTACCTCTTCTTTTACAGCTTTATAAACTTTCTTCATTTTTGCAATCTTCTGTCTAGCTTGATAAGAGCGGCGTTGTGACATTCTCTGGGCTGCTTTTTGTTCTTGTCTTGATAGGGAAGTAGTTATGAAACCAGGTGACATAGACCTAGAAAAGAACTGGTGTTCTGAACATTATTTTCACAGTTCCTATAGTACAAATGCTACTATGAATATGAAATGTCATTAAATATTAACATAAATACTGTGAAAACTACTATTTTTGTGCTCTGAAGCAGAGATGTATATAACAACAGTTATTGGCTTAACAGTCATTGGCTCATACCAGCCCTCTTTACATACCTGCAGTGCACATAAAAAGGGAGTAACCACAGTCACAAAATTGCACATGTTTTGAAGCTAAATTAATATCACTACAGATTCTTCTAGAAGATCATATTGCTAACCTATTTTTTTCTTCCTATTAAGGAACATATGTGCAAATTTACATTGCTATTATTTTCTTGTCTCTCACTTCTAGAAAGTAGTGACTTAAGTAAATTTTATATATCTTTTCAGAAGTAGAAATATTAAAGTTTCTAACAATATCCAGGGCACTATTTTTTTCCAAATGATACCTGTAAATTGGGGGATGACACAACAGATGAAAATAAAGAAATAGGAAAGAAATGCAAATATCTATGTATACCTGAAAACCATGGATGCTTTAAAAATAATCTCTGAAGCTTAGTTACTATTTAGGTTATCTTTTAATTTAAGATTACATGGCCACCCAATTTGCAAATACTGAATGCAACTTCGGACAATGTACAGTCATAAAAAAAATCACAATGTAAAAAATATCATAAATCTAACAATGGAAACAAATAACACAATTGGACATATAGTCAATCTCTCAGGATAAAGCCACCTAACATTCTGGTCTCAAAGTCTGAAAGAATATCCAGGTCTTCAAGGCCTTCTTAAAGACTAACATGACTGAGACCAGTTCAAATATTAAAGAGGAGATCATTCCATTGGGCTGGTGCCACAAATGAAAAGGAATTCTGGTTCTGTCTGAAGGCATTATTTTAAAGTTAGGGAGCTGAAGCATACCCACTCTGTTGCAATGTTTGGGATGCATGCCATTAAGGACTTTAAAGATCATGACTCAGTACTTTGAATTGCACTTGGAAGCTTACTGGGAACCAAGGCAGCTTGCAAAGGAGAGAGATCCACTACACTGATGCATTAAGGCAGGGCTTTTCAACCTTTTCATAGATTATACCACTTTTAGAACATGACAATATTCGAGTACCACCAGTGTTTAGCAAGGTGTCAAAAACTTGATGACTAAAAAAAAGGTGGGGGGATTTTGGATTTTACTGGTTAGATTCATTTGTTGTTATAGAAATGGCTAGTTTATAATATTATGGAAAAATAAAAAGTTGAGGTTCAATGTTAATGCTTCCTTCCTACTGCAACAGTGGAACTCAGAAGGCAGTGCCTTTTCTTTTCTTTTTCCCTTCTCCCCCTCACTTTTTCTCCTTTTTCCTCCCCACTGTGTCTACTATTTGTTTTTGTATTTTTGTATTTTATTCTATAATCTAATAAAATGTTACAAATTGGAAAAAAAGGAAAAAAAGTACCGGTTTTAATTTCTTTGGTGGCAGTTCCTTTGCTGAATCACTTTTCCTTTGCACTGGCAAATGTATGATGAATTAATATATTTATTAATATGTACTACTACCTCCCTCTCCTCTCTCATTCTCTCACCCTTCACTTGCAAAAGCCCCTCACTCTCTCACACACTTCCCCCAAAAGCCTTTCCTCTCTGCCTCTCTCACACACACTTCCCCCAAAAGTCTTTCCCTCTGCTTCTTATACACACAGACCTCCCCAAAAGCCTTTCGTCTCTGCCTCACACATACACACTTCCCCCAAAAGCCTTTCCTCTCTGCCTCTCTCACACACACTTCCCCCAAAAGTCTTTCCTCTCTGTCTCTCATACATACACACCTTCCCAAAAGCCTTTCCTCTCTGCCTCTCTCACACACACTTCCCCCAAAAGCCTTTTCTCTCTGCCTCTCACACACACACTCCCCCCCCAAAGCCTTTCCTCTCTACCCCCACATACACACTTCCCTCCAAAGCCTTTCCTCTCTCTCTCTCTCTCTCTCACCGCTTCTCTGACAAAAGCCCTTTCTCTTCTGACTCTTTTTCCGACATCTTTTTTTCCCTCTCTCCCTCTCCCGCCAAAACTGCCTCCTTTTATATCCCTTCCTGTCTCCGCCCTCCTCCTCCTTTCTCTTCCGGGTGTGCAGGAAGTGCCAATCCTGGGGCGTTTGTCTCACTCCAGCAGCTCCTGATGACACTCTCACAGCAAGTCCTACACTCTGCCACTTTAGTTCGTTCCCTCACGCCGCTACCCTTGGCTAGGCTAGGCAGGGTCGCGTACCACCTGCCAAGTACCAATGTAGTACCTGTGGTATGCATACCACTGGTTGAAAAGCCCTGCATTGAAGTGTATCCATAACCCCTGCACTATTAGATTCTGGAGCAGCTGCATCTTCCAGATTGTTTTTAAGGGCATCCTCATGCAATAAATCCAAGATATGGAAGAAGTAACTACAGTCTAAGTGATGTTGAACAGATTGTCCCAGTCCACGAATGGTTGCACTACTGTACATGTAGTTATGCATGTAGTTTTGAGTTTCTCTCAAAAGAAACCGGCATGGCTGCATAAAGAACTCTCTGATAAATTACAAGATAAAAAGGACAAGTATAGAAAGTGGAAAGAGGGGCACATAACTAAGTCAGAATATCAGCAAATAGTTAGAGCCTGCAAAGATGAAGTGAGGAAAGCTAAGGCTCAAAATGAACTAAGGCTTGCGACCAAAGTCAAAAATAACAAAAAAAGCTTCTTTCAACATGTAAAAAACAAGAAAAAAAGTGAAGGAAATGATTGGTCCATTATTGGGTGAAAGTGGCAAGAAGATGACAAGCAACAGGGAGAAAGCAGAACTATTTAACTCATTTTTTGCATCTGTCTTTATACAAAGGGAAAAAACAGACCAACCTACCAAAAATAGTGCCATAAAAACAGAATAGAAATGCAAGTTAAGATAGGCAAGAAAATGGTAAGTGAGCACCTGTCCAGCCTAGATGATTTCAAATCACCGGGACCAGATGGATTACATCCCAGGGTTCTCAAGGAACTGACAGATGTGATCTCAGAACCATTGAACTATATTTTTCAAAGATCCTGGAGCACTGGGGAACTACCACAGGACTGAAAAAGAGCTGATGTAGTTCCCATCTTCAAAAAAGGAAAAAAAATGGACCCAGGAAATTACAGACCCATCATCCTAACCTCAATACCTGGGAAGATTCTGGAAAAGATAATCAAACAACGAATCAGCAAACACCTAGAGGCAAACAAGGTCATTACTAAAAGCCAACATGGGTTTGTCAAAAACAGATTATGCCAGGCAAATCCTATTGCATTCTTTGACCAAGTGACTAAGTGGATCAGAGGAATGCTGTGGATATAATTTACTTGGACTTCAGTAAGACATTTGATAAAGTAGATCACAACTTACTACTTGATAAGATAGAAAAAATGTGGGTTAGACAGCATCACCACCAGATGGATTCGTAGCTGGCTGACCGGCTGTACTCAGCATGTGGTCTTCGATAGAACCCCATCTACATGGAGGGAAATGTGTAGTGGGGTGCCCCAAGGCTCTGTTCTGGGCCCAGTGCTCTTCAACATCTTCATCAACGATTTGGACGAGGGGATAGATGGGGAAATCATCAAATTTGCAGATGACACCAAGCTGGCAGGAATAGCCAACACTCCAGAAGACAGGCTTAGATACAGGAGGATCTGGACAGACTTGAACACTGGGCGCTATCTAACAAAATGAAATTCAATGGTGAAAAAAGTAAGGTTCTACATTTAGGCAAGAAAAACCAAATGTACAGGTATAGTATAGGGGTACCTTGCTCAACAGTAGTAACTGTGAGAGGGACCTCGGAGTCCTAGTGGACAATCACTTAAATATGAGCCAGCAGTGTGCTGCAGCTGCCAAAAAGGCCAACACAGTGCTAGGCTGCATTAACAGAGGGATAGAATCAAGATCACGTGAAGTATTAATACCACTTTACAATGCTTTGGTAAGGCCACACTTGGAATACTGCATCCAGTTTTGGTCACCATGATGTAAAAAAGATGTTGAGACTCTAGAAAGACTACAGAGAAGAGTAACAAAGAAGATTAGGGGACTGGAGGCTAAAACATATAAGGAAGGCTGCTGGAATTAGGTATGTCTAGTTTAATGAAGAGAAGGACGAGGGGGGATATGATAGCAGTGTTCCAATATCTCAGGGGCTGCCACAAAGAAGAGGGAGTCAAGCTGTTTTCTAAGGCGCCTGAAGGCAGGACAAGAAGCAATGGATGGAAACTAATCAAGGAGAGAAGCAACCTAGAACTAAGGAGAAACTTCCTGATAGTTAGAACAATTAACCAGTGGAACAACCTGCCCCAGAAGCGGTGAATGCTCCAACACTGGAAGTTTTTAAGAAGAGACTGGACAGCCATTTCCTGCCTGAGCAGGGGGTTGGACTAGATGACCTCCAAGGCCCCTTCCAACTTTATTATTATTATTATCATCAATCATCGAACAGTCAGCCAGATGTTCAGACTGGATTTGGCATTTTGTCTACCTATCGAGTCATTACCCAGGACCTGGGATAGGCAGATGTGGATGTTTGATGGTATTACAGGTATTCGTCGCAGGATGGAAGCAGTTCCTAGTAAAACCGCCTTTTGCAATTGCCTAATAGCGAATTTGTCAATGCCAATGGTGTTCAAGTGGTGCTCCAGTTGTTTTGGGATTGCACCCAAGGCGCCTACTACTATTGGTACTACCCTTGCTTGCTTTTGCCACAGTCTTTCTATTTCTATTTGTAGGTCTTTGTATTTTGTTATCTTCTCCAGTTCTTTCTCTTCTATTCTGCTGTCTCCAGGCACTGCCACGTCCACTATCCAGACTTTTTTGTCTTTCTTATCGACAATTGTTAAGTCTGGGGTGTTATGTTGCAGGTGCTTGTCTGTTTGAATTCTGAAGTCCCAGAGCAGTTTAATTTTATCATTTTCTATGACTT